CCCCAAAACCCCAAAACCCCATTTAGCTGTAATTCATATTATTTGATACATATTGAAGTTTAATAAAAACAATCATAATTTAGGTTCATGAAATATTTGATCAATTACATCCTAATACTTCTTAGCTATGTATTTTCTTTTAACTTTCATAGTAGGTGTCAGCTCTCCTCCATCTATACTAAAGTCTTTATCCAATACCTTCCACTTTTTTATTTGATTTACTCTAGATATTGCTTTAGAATTAACTTAATCAACACATTTCTATATAAACGTTAATACGTTTGGGTCTTCCCCTGCCTCTCTGGTTGTTCTAGCCTTTGAATTTAAAGTTTATATATAACTAAGGACTTCTGGAGCAAGTTCATTAGTTGGCTTTCCAAGTTAAACATCAAATTTCACTTTTAATGTGAAAAGTGCTATCAAAAATTTTCTTTCGTCACCTATAACAACTGCCTATCTAAGGAGAGGACAGTTTTCTCTAAGTTAGTTTTCAATTTATAGGGGTGATACATTTTCACCTCCTGCTGTAATAATTAACTCTTTTATTCTGCCAGTGATTTCCAAGAAGCCATCTTAGTCAATGAAACCCATATCTCCAGTATGAAAATATCCCTCTCCGTCAAATACTTCTTATGAGTCTTAATCATTGTCAAGATAACCCATAAATATGTTCCTTCCTTTTAGGCAGATTTCTCCAACTCCTTGCTCATCTGGATTAAATACTTTCATTTGTGTTCCAGGGAATGTTTTCCCTGCTTTGTGTAATCTTATATTGGCATCCTCCATATATGTTGTTGCAGCAGCAGATTCACTCAACCCATACATATTTATAAGTGGCATATTTAAGGAAGCAAAGAATTTCTTTACTTTATCACTTAATGGAGCTGCTCCATAATAAAGCTTCTCAATTCTGTCGAGACCAAGCTCTTTCTTAATTTTATTAAGAATCATAAACTTAGACAAATTATATCCAAAAGGTGATGGTTCATTTTCTTATCTCGCAAGAATATTTTAATACCCTTTTTCCTTAGCCCATTTAAATAGTGATTTCCTTATTTATGAAGATTCTCTCATTTAATCTTTAATTATATCTCTCAGCTTTTCATAGATACGAGGAACTGCTAAAAATTCTGTTGGTCTCGCTTCTCTCAAAGTTTCTACTAATGTTGCACTCATTAAAGCATCTGGTTAAGCAAATGTTAAAAGTAAGGGCTAATTATAACAAATCAATCTCATGAAATCACTCATCTATGCAGTAATATGCGACATTGGAAGATAGCAAACTTGATGGACTACTTGAGTTCTATAGTCTGGTATTCCTTTATGCTCAAGAAGTTTATTTTAAACTGACCAATACCAAGTCATATTGTCATGTGAAAGCATCACACCTTTTGAATCGCCAGTAGTACCACTTGTATAAACTAAATTGCAGCATTAGCCAGGTTCTTAATCTTTTAACCTTCTAAATATAACTTAATTCTCTACATTTTCGCCAAAAGATAAAGCCTAAGTCCAATTGTAAATTCTAATCTCTCCTTTCTTTTTGCTAAATGTCCTCTCATAGCTTAATTCACCGAATAAAATCACACTTCTAATACCTTTTGCTAAATAGTCTGCCTTATATGGTAAAAACTTCTCCTTATATGTTGCCAAAGTATCGCAAACAATCAATTTAGACCTTGAATGTATCACCTATTAATGACATGCCTCAGCCCCATTTGTAATGTATATCTCTGTTATAACACAATTAGCAAGGAATGATCCCATCATTGCTATAAAGTGCTCTGGGCTATTATATCCCATGATACTTATTGTAGTACGTTCTTTTATGCCAAAATGATGCAAAGTCTTAGCGAATAGCATGGCTTTATCATAGAATTATTACCAATTATATTGAACCATTACATATTCTCCATCATTTATTCCTGTGACTCTTCTTTTCATTTACATACAAATTTCGTTTCTAAAGAGCTCAATTTATTTGAAGAAATTAGTTGGCACTGTTAATGGAATCTCTCCTCCAAAGCCTTCTTTTGCCATTTTAATAGGCAATTCTTGATTTATGTCACTTGTCCATAGAATATTCCTAAATCTTGTGTGATAGTCTGCTTATGATATGTGCTTTATACCATCTTCACTTATATAAAAGTTGAAATCATGAATCAGTTGCCTATCAGCATTCTCATCCTTTTAATCTTCATACTCATCCATATTATCCAAATTCTGTCCAGTTTTCTAGGAATAAATGTCAACCATTTATTTTTACGCAAAATTATTAATTTGCCACATCATGAGCGTCATTAACCTTATGGGGTTTTGGGGTTTTGGGGTTTTGGGG